GTCGTTGGCGAATGCTGGCTGTGCGCGCCGACAGAAAAATTATGTGCACGTGGACGTGAGGGTTCGGTGCGACGAAGTGCTGGCGACACCGCATGCCTGCCGCTGTCCCCTCCCTTTTTTTTCCCTCCCCTGCCCCCTCCTGCGCTGCCCCACACTGCGCCGACACCGCGTCAGCACGCCCACTCCGGGCGCACTCACGCCGAGCTTTCACGGGGGGGACGGAGAAAGTGCCAATCCGTGGACGGAAAACAAACGCCGAAGAAAGGTTTGCGCGCCGGAGCCGAGTGTGCCGTGCCACGGATCCAGCTTAAGGGGCGGGAGTGAGGGGAGCGAGGAGGGGTTGAGGGGGGTCGAGGTGCTCTCAGACACTGCGCTGAGCGCAGTAAATGAAGTGCGGCGCCCCTCCCCGTCACGCCTCGTCACGCCCGGCCACGCCCCGTCACGCTTCTCCTCTTGTGCATTGATCGGGGCGCGAGGTGCTGCCCGTAATCTGGTTATAATTGGGGAGCGTCATCCTCCATAGCGCCAGCCTCATCCAGCTCCAGCAGCCTGCGCGCCTGATGATGTCAGCCAGCCCGCCCCCGTGACCCGGGGAAAAATAAAACAAAATCCGCCCCCGTCAGCGCCACTACTTGTACACTGTAGAGATGAGCAATCTGGAACAGGCCAGTTTAAATGTATTCGAACTCGAACATAAACAGCTGAAAATTTTCTATCAAACGAACAGAACAGTTTCTCCATTCAAATTCGAGCGGTCTCTTACAATTTACGTATCTCACCAAGGACGGCTCATACCGCTCGATAGCCTTTGGCATCAAAGCGAGCAAGATGTTCCCCAGCCTCTTTACACTGGCTGCAAATGTTTGCATGTGAACCTCTGTTCGAGGAGTTCACGAACATTTCGGATTTCGGATCCGAATACCGCCTTTGTGTTGAAGTTCAAACTTTCACGAACTGTTTGCTGTTTGTTCGAGTTTGACCGATTGCGAATGCGAACACGTCCACTCATCTCAGCGTTGCACTGCTAAACGAAATCGTGCCAAGAATATCGTCAGTTTTTCGGATACGTCCAACAAATCCTTTGTATTACGAACCTTCCTCTTTTTTTACAAAGCTACAAAACTTGCAGCCACAAAGAATTAGTTCGCAAAGCTTTATGGAAGGTTTTACATATCATATCTGTGCGTGAGTGTGTGCGAGTGCGCGCTGTACGCGGTTGTGTATGATACATGTAGCGGAAACACACCCCCGCGCGCCTTTCCGGCTGCCTGGCCGGCACCTTGCCTTCTCGCTCCCACCACCATATTTCAACCCCGAACCACCACCACCTCCTCCTCCCTCCTCCTCCTCCTCCTCCTCCTCCTCCTCCTCCTCCAGCGTCAGACTAAAGTAGTGCGGCGAGCAATGCCTCGGTTTGGCCGAGCTTGGCGGGGCGCGGGGCGCGGCGAGGCGAGGCGGGGCGGTGCGGCTCTAGTCAATATCTTTTATTGTCGCTGGACGGTGGTGCGGCGCGCCGCTGGAGTCAGACTTAGCTCTCCCAGTTGAGCCGCCTGGAGTCCGCACAACGCTCGAGAGGGGAGAAGCGGCCCTCCCCGCCCCCTTCGCCACCCCCTTGTTCCTTCCTCACCGGGGACCCCTGCTTCCTGCCACTTACCCCGGTACCCCGGGTACCCGGGAAAGCCCGTCGACCCGGTTCCCACCCAGGTAACCCGGGTACCCGTGGGCCCGTGGGTCGGGTTTTAAAGAGCCCTTCTGTACGTCATTCAAACGGATCGCGTGGATTACGTCGGGATCACGAGGATTACACCGGATTACGTGGGTTTTGCGCAGATTATGAGGATTATGTACGGATCACGTGGGTTGTGTGCGGATCCACGTGGATTATGTGCAGCGCCTTGCGCCCAGCCTACACCGATTACGTACCGGATAAAGGACGCAGGTGCAGGCGGGTTTGCCTACTCTAGGGGCTATGACGCCTTCCGCGGTAGGCAAACCCGCACGCACCTGCGTCCTTAATGAAACGTACGCCCGGTACAATGAACGACCCTTCGACTATGGTTGACGTGAGGTGGTTGATATGGTCTCAGAGAGGTGGAAATAGATTGAAAATAGTTGAAA